ATGATTTGCTTGAAATACAGGGCATAAACACTTGTATCCATTTAATACTCATTTTGTCTGTTTTTGAATCATTGATTGAAAACATTACATTAGAAGCAGTCGTATAAATATAAGTAATAAATTGAATACAATTTATAAATGTTTGCGAAACTAGTTGATAGGAAAAGAAGATTTAAATGAATTTTAATTGAAAAGATATACTATAATGTACTGTAGTTTGAGGACAAAGTACCGGTAGTTGTATGACTAGTGTATGTATTGCTTACTAATCGCATTGAAACACATTTCAGATGAATACTGTGCCTAACACTCAGCCGGATCTAAATTTCACCAATTTGTACAAAACGTTGCCACAAAAGATCACTCCAGTCATGTCCCAGAACCTGAGCGCACCCATAGCTTTCGTAACACTCCTCCATCTATGCAATGAAAGGGTATGTTTCGTGCGAATGATTATGAATATTGAATCAATGATTAGTGTATTTAATGGTTAATTGTATTGAAACAGAACCTCAAACTCGTGGGAACCGACGATTTGTCAAACTTTCGCATTGAACTCGATGTTCACGATATTCACGAATAATACGAACTCTCTGTAGAGAAAGAGACTAATTATCATTATTCTAGTATTTAATGGCATTTGTTTTTATTCTCAGCTAGTAACAAATTTTAAACCCATAGATTTCGTAACTCACTTATTGTTCATAATATCAGTTGAATTTTAAATAATTTGTAAATTGTTTTTTGATTAATAAAAGTAAATATTTTGCCACAAATTGCCGAATATTAATAGCATTTAAGGCATTATGAAATGCATTTTGAGGCGATTTGTGTGAAAAGCAATCATTCTTATGTTGTTATTGTAGTCTAAGTTATAGAGTTTTACATACCTTTTAGGCGTTCACTCACTTAGGCTGTGAGCGCTTGGATTTGAGCGATGGTCCCAACGGTCCGTTTTGTACGGCATCTCATTCTCCAAATGATGTAATAGAGCCCAATAGGAGCTATGCTTTTATGTCTTTCCATCCAATGCTCCACTCAATGACTGACTGGCACTGCATTTACTTAACTTTTGTTTCACTACTTTTTTCGGTGCCATTACTCTAAAAACGAGTACAAGTGCTGCGAAAAAGAAATACCGATCTCTGGCATAGGATTTCCCAACTGATTCAGAGATGGATTGCATTGCTTTCCATTCACTCTAATCATCTCTTTTGCAACACATTTATGTTTGAGAGAGAGTGAGAGAGAGAGTGAGAGAGAGAGTGAGAGAGAGAGTGAGAGAGAGAGTGAGAGAGAGAGTGAGAGAGAGAGAGCACTGAAATTGTTTATACTTTAAGAACTAAATTAATGTTTTCTTCTCTTCTTCTCTACGTTTTTGCTTTCATACCAATGAATCATTAGATTATGTGATGAATTCATTTCAAGTATAAAAAGCCATCAATTTTTTGCCATTAAATTCTCTAAACAGAAGATAAACATATTTTACATAAATTTTAAAACTACTTATACCTAATTGTATTGTTTAGTCACTATTTTCATATTTAAACATATTTATAAACATATAATTTGTATTTGAAATTCAAATGAAAGACCAGAATATTCCGGCATTTTTTGAGAAACAGAATCATAAATTACTCGCAAAAAACATTATCCATATATAGAGTGTAATATAATAGCTATAAAAGTGTTGAGCGAATGCGATGGCAAAAGTGATCCCAAACCTGCCGTTTGGAAATTCAGTGATGAAATGGTAGTAAAAAAAGAGAGCCTATCGACTAATGGTGCGAAGAACAAAATTTGTTGCCGACTGTCCCTGGAGTGACACACCGGGGCTTAACTTTGGTTGCATTAGGAGCCGTGCAAATGTGCACAACTATGTAAAGAATGATAGACTCAGAAATGAGAGCTCAGTTGCCTTTTTCGCCGCGCTTTCTATCCGTTATATTATGTTTTGTTCACCAATTGCTGAAAATAGTGGCAAAAACTGATCGCTCAATGAATATATGGAATGAAAGCGAATGAATGCAAAGCCTTATTCCGATGCCTTTAATGCCTGAATGTCTGAGCGCTTAATAGTTGTAAGAAAATAAAATTAACTTTTGGGACCGAAAACTCCCTTAAATGAAGTTTGATTTCTGTTTGACTCCCCTGTGGTTCACAATGTTTTTTGTTTTGCTCTTTAGAGCTCCAAACTAACTGTAAGACCAATGAATTTAAGCATTAAGACACATCTTTAGACACGTGTTGAACACATATACTAAGGCTTAAGATTGATTGCATCCGAATATTTCATGACTTAACAAATTTCTTTAAATTATTATCGACTTAAACCTCATTTCATTGAAAACTCCGAAAGAGTAGTGAAAACACTATTAATTACTACTAAATAAAGAATTAATTCGTTTTATGTCTTAAAACTCATTGTATTTTTCATTAGAAAATCAATGCCAGCCTCTGTTGTGAAGCAAACAAATCCTTTGCATTTATACTACAATTAAGTGCATTGAATGCAAAACGAGAGACAATTTTATGTAACATTAGATTCTGTTGATTGCGGTTTGAGATATATTTTGACCCTTTGCTGCACTCGAGGGTATTGTTTAAGAAATAATAATACATCCGTTGAGACATATTAACTATTGACCAGAGCTGGTCACTACAGGCACTGGCGGTTAATTATAAAACTGTATTATTTGCACCAATGCATGGCTTCAGCAAGATAATGGCATTGTTTTTCCCTTTTCTCTATTGTCTTATTGTCCTCTTTGTGTCTAATATTAGTGAAAGAGAAATAAAACTCAATTCTTATGTCATTAATGATAGAACTGACAATTGAATCCTATATTCCTATTAAACAATTGATTGATATTATGGTTCTCTTCAATGAAACGAATATATTGTATATATTTTTATACAGAAT